GCTGCCGATTGCCAAGAACCAGGAAACAATGAGTCTGTGTTGTAGATGAATGAGGCCTCATGCGGACAAGACTAGTTTGGGACAAAAACAAAGAGAACTTGTTTTTGTTGTTGGGGATGGATATGGCCAGTAATGTGCTTGTTTTTTGGTTTTTTTTGTTTTTTTCCAAATAAACATTCTTGAAAGAAGCAGCATCTCTGTGCTGCTGTCGGGATGCAACAATTTTCCGATTTTAATCCCGCGACTGCAGCATTCGATCGTCATCCACACAACAGTTTTAGAATATTATGGTAAAAAACATACATGGATTGCATAACTGCCTATGTTAGCGATTTTGACTCTAAATATACCAAATTTAAGGCAACTGCTCACATTTTGCTTTAAATGTCATGCAATTATTTGCAGTTTTGGGGTTAGATAGGGGATCTTATTTGAGCGGGTCTGGTCAGGTTTCCTGGCGTACAAAGTATTGAATATCGCTGGCTCGGGCCGGAACGGATCTTAAAAAATACACTTGTTTGGGCCTAGCTGTAGAGCCTCGACACCTGTCCGCCCGTAAATTAAACGTGTTGGTCGAAGGAGTCCTTTTTATTTTGCGCATTTAAGCATAGCCCGGAAAACTGTTCAAGAATGTTAGTTAATAGGCTGTAAAGTTTCATGTGTGTACCACAACTGAAAGGACTATTTCAAAGCTGTCTAAAGCTATTATTCGGTATCAGCAACCCTCCTGTGAGCAGCTTGGCCGGCAAAAGGACGCGTCTGTCGTCCATTTCGTGGGTTGTCACATACCAACAGTTGACACTGGGTTCTTTCAGCCATGACCAAATCTTTCCTTAACCAAGAAGAAGGTTAATCAAACTTTAACCATGGATGCGGTGAATCTCATTCAAAAGTAAATTATAATGGCTGTCATGACTAATCCATTCCAAAAGGGTACCAGGCAGTTTGGAATGTTTGGCGCATCTGAAAAGGTTTGGATATGCACAGGGCTACATGACCAAGTGCAGTCAATTCTTTTCGCTATCATTAAATGCTAACTATTTGCTTGTAAAAACTCAGTTAATTCCCTAAAATAAAATTTAAAAAAATTAAAAAATGATGTCTGTTTTGCAAGAGAGCACATAATCGCTCCTCATCCATCAGCTTGAGAAGAAGCCAATATGATAAAGACAGCAAAGTATGGAAAACAAAGCCATGTTTTGGCGTTTGGATATTGTTTTGATAACCTGCATACTTGTCACCTTCAGAAATTTGAGTGGAGAGGTCTGCAGGTGGCAGACCCTTGCTATCCATCTCCTGTGTTTGCCAAATGAGCAGAGCGTGTAGCAAGTTAGGGAGTGTGTGCGGATGCAACGTGTATGCGTGCGCCGTCAGGAAAGAGAATCTACCAGCATGTGGATCACACTGACTGAAAGATAGGCAGGAAGAAAGTAAGAAGCCTGGCTATCTTCAAAACGAGAGGGCCTCTTTTGATCTGTGTTTTCATTCCTTTCAGTGTTGGTGAAAGGGGAGCTGTTGAACGGTAGTAGAGGAGCGGAACACTTGAAACTTGAACGAGGCTCGAAGAAAAACACGCGGCGTGTTTGAACACAAGTCTCAAGCAAAGGTGGCAGGAGGGGAAGAGAAGACAAAGAGTGGGGAGGGAAAAATGGAGGGTGCAATCATGTTAGAAAGGCTTCATAAAGTGTCATTTACTTAACGGCGAGTCTGGCTTCCTTGTATCCACACCAGTGATGGATTGATTGATTGGAAACTTGACAGTGTACCTACCACTCAGGGAGGTGACATACTAAGACCACTACCGCTCTTGTCGTGTTTACCTAGAAATAGTTATGAATTGCGCAGATAACTAGATTGATTCACGATTCACTCCAACGTTTTTTGCCCCACGGACCGGTTTAATGTCAGACAATATTTTCAGGGACGGGCCTTTAAGGCCGGATAAATACAACAAAATAATATCATATGACCTGCATGAAAACTGTGGTCTTTTCTAAACATAACAATAAACACGAATCATGACTTGAGGAACGTCTTATCTGGTCGCTATGGTAATGTTGAAATGTGCCTTCAAAATAAGATACACCGCAAATACAAAGTGCATGAAAAATACGACTCACCATCGCCACATGTTATGCAGAGTGGGCTTGGTGCGTCGGAATCTCCCGTTTAGATAAATCCGTATTTTAAGTAGGACTCCGAAACTGTCTATTAAATGTAGGCTTCTTTTTCTTGAAAGTCGTAGGCCCCTTTTCTGTCTCCTGGCTGGGCCTTTTCCCCTTCCCAAAGATGTTTGTTTTTTACTCATTTTGCAAGCTCCTGGGTTTCATTTTAGCGCTAACCTATCACGTGACCAAGAAGCGCGCCTTGACCTGCGTCGCGTGACATACTGTAGACTGATGTAACAGAGAATCCAGTAATTTTTCAAAATAAAACATCTTTCAGATTCGGAAATGAATGAAACGGAAGTAATGTAAGTTATTTAATCTTTCTGTGCGGCCCAAGGACCGGTACCGATCCACGACCCGGAGGTTGGGGACCATTGTTCTAAAACATCCCATCTGAAACATAAAAGGCAAAAGCATTCCGAGGGATGGTCATAATTGATTCATTGTTATTTTTTTTTCACCAGTACGCTTTCATTTTCAAAAATGTTTGTTTCTCAAGGTTGTGGTTGTAGCACAGGAAGCCACAAGAAAAAAAAATCAATTTGGTCAATTTCATCTTACACCAAACAGCATGCTACAAAATAACAAAATATTGTGGCACAACTGTTTTCATATTGACATGCTGTTTCCTCCCAGGTTTTTATTGCTAGAACTCTGGGATCACAATTTCATGTGTAATATTCATACATGCAGAAGAGGTTGGAGGAAAGAGGAGGGTGGGGAGTGGTAAGAAACAGTTTGTCGCCTTGGGCTCGCTAGCCAAACAGAAGAGGTGTCCGCTTGTTTTTTTTTTGTTCTCTTTTGACCCCTGCCATCTGTCCAGTTAGTTTCTGACACCTGTACCAGGCCGTCAGAGCTGAGCTAAATCCCTGTCATTGCTGGTTTCCTGGCACTAGCCTGTGGAGAGACACAGGAAATATGGGGACTAACCATAATGAATCGAGAGAACCAGTTATACGAATTGCCTCGCACTGCTTCAACAAATCAGAAAGAGGCTCTCCTTCCCAAATCAAACCATAAAAGTGTAAAAAAACAAACAAACAAAAAAGTGATGTGAGAGGGGCTGGATTGCTTGAGTTGAGACAAAATACCTCTCTGGCAAGTTCCAGTGGTTTTTGGCAACAGGAAAAAAAAAAAACAGCTGCAGCATAAATCAGTTAGTTGCTCACCTCTTATCGGCTACATTGGCTTTGTGATAGGTGACTAGCACCTCTGCTGAAGTGTCACAGACATGATTGCTGATCCAAATGAACGGCAAAATCAAAGATGAACATGTTGGCTAGTCACATAAAATCACAATAACTGAAAAAAAACGGAAACTGAAACTTCCCCCTTCCATTATTAAAATATAATTGTGAAAATGTACTTCATTTTCATTTTTGTCATTTACATCAGACATGAACTTTGGGGTTCATTCTGCGTCAGGTCATATATAATCATTTGAGAATCATCTTAGTGACGTTTTTTTTTCTTACACTTGACAAATAATCGATATATTAAAAACAACTAACTCAAAAACAAATACAAACTCAACCAAAATTACACATTTTGAAAAAATAAAACTAATAAAAACTAGCAGACTACTCTAAAATAAATTTAAATTAACTGAATATAAACAAAAGTCAAAATGAAATAAAAACTATGAAGAAAAAAATTCTAAATCTTATCACCTGACAGTGACGCATCTTAGAATGCTTGAACATTTATCATCAGCACAAACCAAACAAAACAAAACAGATTTGAGCCAGTGAAAAGGAACTACTGGTGAGAAAGCAACTACACTTCAGGTGATCTGACATGCATTAAAATTTAGTTTGTTTTCTGCTCATGTTGCTCATATACAAAAGCACTAAGCAATAGTGTGATAATACAGTTGTGATTATTGGGCTCACTGTAGTTATGATCTGAACCTTTAATTCTTGACCTGCAAAAAAAAAAATCTCCTTTCCACAGCAGGACCAGTCAGTCTCATTGAAATGTTCTCTCACTTTACAACAACGTGTCAATGTGTGGAGACATTTTTGCACAAGAGTCTGAAAATCCACCACGTCCGGCAGCTTGCATGACAGTGCGGATTGTTTTTCTGCAACAGGACCGGACCGAGTCATGTTTGTTCTCAGCAGAGAATGAACCTACCAAGTCAAACAAGTGGCACGTTGCCACGTCACCAGTCCATTCACACACACATGAGGAGGTATTGACACAGTGTGCGGCTAAAACCTCAGCACTAAGGACCACTCGCATTTACAATTGGAACAGAGCGAGCACTGTGAACTCATTACATCAAACTGAGAAGCCCATGTGTGTTTAGGGGTTGACCTGACATTATTTACACTGACTGAATAAATATGTCGACAACCATAATGAAATAACCATGTAAACATTGAATTACATCTGCTCTTGCCTTCTCAGTGATGTAAGAAAAACTCCAAACCTTTACCGCATAGGAATTCGGGCAGCTGGAAGAAAAAGACAAATGCATGGGTGTAGACATTTCTTTAGTCCTACAAAGTGAATTTTAAGCAAGATACTTGTTGCATACTCTCCCATGTTCGAATATTACTGTCACATTTATGTTGCGACTTCCGACTTGTCAGATGTTGTCACAGGTAGTTACTCGCACGATTTCTTTGGCACGCTTTTTAAAATCGATGCCCTTCCTGACACAACCTACCCATTTTTTTGTTGTTGTTTGTTTAATCCGGGCATGGGAGTCAACCTGTGCCATCTGCATGAAAGGCAGCAGCATGTACCATGACCAAAATTTACAGCTGTGTGTATTATTCGGTACACATTGAAGACCCAAACAGAATTTTCCTTCCTTCTGTGCAGGTTGTCGGTCATTAAAGGAGCAGCATGGAGACATCAGCTCCAGCTGCCACTGAGAAGAAGGAGTGCAAGGGTCCTGGTTTGGATGGAAGGAGCTTCTCAGAAATCCCAAAGAAGCCATCTCCAACCTCCAGAGGTACAATCGTTTTCCAAAATTCTGTTCTTACTCAACCTTTCGTCTAGAAACGGAGTTTTCTTTTCTCAGAAGAAGAAATATTGAATTGGTGTAAAACCAGACATTTGAACTGATCTCGTTTCTAGTTCCTGTAGGATCATGTTCCACTGTGCAAATGAGCATAATGTAAAACACGATGACTCGCATAAGCAATTGGGTGATACATGAAAAGAGATGGAGGCTGCATCATTTAGAGATGCCAGAGAGGGGATGATGAAAAAATGCTATAATGAGGTCGAAAGACCTTGTTCTCACCTCCCGAGTGTACATTTCATGAATTACTAAAAAAGGCTGGCGTAGCAGTGGACGGCGTGGTGTATCGGCGGCCTCTGATAAAGTCAGAGAACAAGGAAGGGCCTTTGAAATGCAAACAAGATGTCATACGATATTGTGGTATTCGCTTTTTTTTTTTCTTAATGATGATCTTGGTGGCCTGCCACAAGATGAGCCATGAGCATTAATTGTTTAGGGATGCGGGGTTGAAACTAGGACGTATCAGTGCACCCACCCTGGCAGCGCCACAAAGAGTCTTCAAGTGTTTTCAAGTCAGCAAAGAAAATATCTAACTAGCTTGAGATGAATTATTTATAGATATGACCATTGCACGTCGTGTAGCTCGATAGGGCTTGACATTTCATTACCTTGCGCGGATGACAAAAAGTAACGCTCGTTTCTCAATGACTATTTGGGGAAGTGATGTCACATCGAGGGTGCGTGCTAGGTCAAAGGCACAAAATAAACATGATACAAAGAGGAGAGCTCTTATTTTCATTCGCGACTAAATGACGAAAACTGGTCTTAACGAGGTCGCAGGACCTTGTTCATGCCTCTGATGTCCCCGATGTTATAAATTACTAAATGCTGCTGGTGGACCCAAGTTTATAGACTTTGAAACCCCTCAGAGAGACACCATCATCTAAGGGCTATGGCAGGAGCAAATCATTCATACCGTCATAAAACTCACTTAAAGACTCTAGAACGAAAAAGTAGAACATTTGATTGTCCTTCGACATTTGCTCTGCTTTTGTTGTTGCTTAGTTTATTCATGACATGGTCCTGTTTTTAAGTATGCATTTGCAAAGGAAAAATAGAGCAAATGTGGATACATCAAGAAGTCCTTTTAAGATGACAAAGATTCTTCTTAAAGGGCCACTAGTTATTTAGGTTAGTTGTGTTTGGGAAGATCAAATCCAAGCCACATATTCTACATTAAAGTCTACAAAAAACAACAACAACAACAACAATGCAAACATTAAAACCGAATAAACACACTCACATCCTTCTTGTTGTTTTCATTTGCACCCGTGTCGCTTTCGTTCAGGGGTGTCAAACTCATTTTTGCCGCGGGCCACATTGGAGTTACTTCTTCCCTCAGAGGGCCGTTATGACAGTGAAACCAAATTAATCGTGTCATTGTATTATTACTTGTACACCGCAAATAGATAGATTAGGAGTTTTGAAACCAGTCAACCATAATACTGTAGTTTATTCAATTATCGTTCCAGTGATTTACACTCACTTTGAAAAAGAATATTGCACAATCTCAACATTATTTATTATACGTGACATTTTGACATTTCGGTAGAGATTTTAGCAAGGATCATGGAAGTTGACACACGATTCGCGAGCCACATAAAATGATGTGGCGGGCCGATTCTGGCCCCCGGGGCCTTGTGTTTGACACCTGTGCTTTAGTTTTAAGGAGGCATACATTGTTCTCTTTGAAATGTTGTATGCCACAATGCTCCAGCATTAGGACATGTTCTACTCTATGAATATGTGGCTTTGACCAAAGGATGTGCGCCCAAAGAAAGACGTCAAGGAAAGCGAGAGCTTTGCGTTTCAAGTACACAAAGTGCAGGTTACCGACAGTCCATAAGATAAGAATCAAACTGCTTTCTTAAAGCCTCGTTAATGGTTCCAAATGGGCCCCAGCATTTGCTGGGACAGCCTGCATCTTTCTCATAGCTGCAGGGCTTGCTCCCACAAGCTTGTCACTTGCAACCCGACTCCAAAGCCCCGGGATTTACAAGCCTGCATTAACCTGAGCCTTAACTATGTCAGTGTAACATGTGTTGAGATAAGGTGCCTGCTTCCAGGACAGTAAAAGATCAAACCCTTTCCTAAGGGAAAACTGTGAAAAACATGTCCCGACTTCCATACTTAACAACAAAACCTGGGTCGTATGTGCTCATGTGTTTGCTACCTATTAGGTCAGTTTCAATTGCGGCTGCTATGACTTGTTTTACAGCCTTATTATATCCTCAGTCTGTAAAAGGCCACTGGAGCCTACTGACCCTCTGGTTACAAGCCCAGGCAGCGTGTATATATGCTTACATGGTCGAGGGTTGGCCTGTTTATGGATATGGCGTTCATGACAATTCCTAATATAATAGTATCTGTGCCGTTACTCAAAGCAGTTATGGATCTGGGATGGTGTAGCTCATGTACCAGAACACACCATTCAGCATCCCATCTTGCTTTGACTTCAATGACATGAGCGCTGATTGTCTCTGCTGCTCCTTTAAAGTGTGAGGAATAACGCAGTCGGATGAAGAAGAGAAGCCTTTTATAATGACTTCTGCTCAGAGTAGAGTGTGTCTTTGAGATAAAGAGTGGAGCGTTAATCATGGCTATCGTGGCTGCATTTCAGATGCGGCTCAGGCACCTCAACGTGTTTCTGTGGAGGGCGCTCTTGGAACAGGTCACGGCCCCCTTGGCAGAGAAAAATGTCCCAGAGAAAGAAAAAAAACAACAACAAAAAAAACAACGCCTCCTCCCCACTCCTTGCTCTATCCAAAGGCCTACTCCAAAGGGACAGCCACTAATCTTCCTGAGAAAGAGAGTTCTGCCTTTCTTTCTGTGCTCCTAAATGAGGCTCTTATGCTGCTGTGGTTGTGACGGACTGTGTGAGAGGTAGAGGAATGGGGTGAGGGCTCAGAGGTCAGCGTTATGCAGAGATGACCGCATGCTCGCCAGATCCCTTTGCCCTCTTTGGTTTTAACTTCTCGGCCCTCAACCTCAGTTGAAAGAATCGGCAAATTCCTTTTCTGATGCAAGAGCATTCGCTGAAACAAACAAACAAAAAAAAAATGGGGAAGAAAATTGCTCTTTCAAATGCTCAAGTCATAAAGTGCACTAGGGAATTATCTTTTGGGCTAAGGAAAAAGAAAACATTCTTTTTTTTTTAACAAAGGGAACGCTGTTCATTGACAAGGTTTTTGGCCCGTATTTACAATTCTAAATGTCATCTCTAATGAAATAACATATTTTTGTTTGTTTGATAAATAGGGTGATTGAATATGTCAGATATCTTAAAACAAACAAACCTTTGTTCCTGTATTTCCTGTAGGCCATGTACTGTAAGAGCTGGTTCATAGTAATGCTTTGCAACCTACTCTGGGCAATAGTTGCATGTAAATAAAATGTACCAGATGATCATACACACTTTCAGGGGCCTAAAGACAACATGTTACATTCCGTGGCCATTTTACAAGCAGTGGGAGAGAAGACGGAGTGGTACAGCAATATATGGATGCTTGAGGGGATTAACCAACACCCCACCAGGGCAGCTTTTTCCTGCCCAACCCTTGAGTCTCACAATTCTCTTTTGGTGTCTACTTCCCCTTTTTCACGTTCTTTCCCAGTATGTGGAGTATAATCCGTGTCCCCACTTCTAAGACACTTCCTGCCGGTTTTGTTTGCAAAGCTGATTGGAATTAGCGCAATAAGGTGCACGGCTTTTTACCCCTCCTCTGAGGTGTCGCCTCAATCCAACTGTATTTGACGGCAACATGTTGTGAAGGTTACTGCGTATAGATTTGTACGCTATGAGCTTGCTTCTGACCCAACCTAACCTTCAGTCTGGGATAATTTGATTTACTTCCGTAAACCTCACAGTAAAAGAGAGACAAAATAAACATCTGAAGAGTTTAGACATGGTGAAACAAAAATGTGAACTAACTGTAAACACGGGCGGGAGGCGCTTGTGTAAACGCACCCGATTCTGCAGTGGTGAGCTGATCTACAGACGGACAGTATGTGGTCGGCCTCGTCACCCCCACCACCCGCGATTCTCTACCCTCGCCTGGAGACACAGCTGTGGTCCACCCTTGTAGAAACATTGCTGGGGAAAAGAATTACGGTCACCACAGTGCTGCACTCTGCCAGGGAGCTCACTCATCCGTGATGATCACCGCATGTCTGATGTTACTTAGGAGCAAACAAAACAAAAATACGCACCTTAATGAATATGCATGGTCATAAATCGTATTCTGTTATTCTCAGGAGGATGTTAGTGTAAATAGTATGACATAATTAAGACAACAACATTCACGTTTTGGGAAGCTTGACGTAGCATACAGTGTACACAATTACGCCTAAATTACACAGGATGATAATTATCCGACAAATGAGTTGAGGTCAGTGTCGAAATTGAAATTAATTATCTGGTTCTTAAAAAAAAAAAAAAAGAGGCCTGGTGACTTTTGAGTGTTGCCGTGTCGATTTCCGTAGCTCTGTGGCAATACAGTATATTGGCTAGGTTTTCGGCAGTGGTGCTTGTTGGGATGAAAACATATATGAGATTTTGTGGTGCCCACATTCAAGGCTCAACTGATTAATCAGCCAGCAGATTAAAATAATCGGCCAAATGGACAATGTTTGTTTTTACCTTTGTGTACTGTAACCATTTTCAGCAGTTGTACACAAGTAACACTGGTCTCATTATTTATTACACACCATAACATTGTATCCTCAAATACATATGATGAGATGTGTTGTCATTCAAAACAAAGCAAATCCTATTTATTTATTCATTCATGTATTTATTTTTATTTCTTTTTACAAGCAATGCTTAGGTGAGCAATACAAGAAATTGATGATACATAGAACATCAAGTCACAGTTTGTTTCTAAAAGAAAAAAAAAACTATAACTATCAAATAAAACAAACCTAAATGT